TATAGGCCTTGTTGATTCCTCTCCAAACATAGCGCTTATAATTGTGAACATAAAGCTCTATTTTGGTCTCATCACTTCAAATTACAGTGTGCTAGAAGCTGTGAGTTGTGACAATGTGTTGTTGGCATATTATACCGAGCTTTTTTGTGGCATTGGCTCTGTAAAGGTGTCTTTCTGGCAACACAACCATGCAGATAATTTTTTGTTCAAGTATCATCGTATTGTGCTCCTTGAAACAACCACACCATCTTTTTCCAGAGCAGCCTGTGTTTCTCCTGAGGTTACCTGTGGGTTTTTATTTGTATCCCAAACAATTCTTCTGGCAGTTATGGTTGAAATCTTTTTTGGTCTACTTGACCTTGGCTTGTTATCAAGAGATCCCTGAATTTTCCACTTCTTAGTAAGTGATTGTATAGTACTGACTGGCATTTTCAAGGCTTTGTATATCTTTTTATATCCATTTCCATCTTTATAAAGTTCCATTGTTACACAGGCTTTCGACAGTTCTTTTCTGCTCCCCATGGCTTAGTATCTAGCCTGTTCAGTGTATCCAAATGAGAGCTAACAAACTCATTGACTATTTATACACAGACACTAATTGCAATTTAAAAAGCCACAGATGTGGGAAATTACCATTTGGGTGATTTCTGTTATCATTATGATTTAAAATGGAGTCCAACAACTATGTGATGAGAAATGGCTTCATATGATCACGATCCTTCAATAAAATATTTTTTTTCTGCATGATCAGACATATTTTCAAATTCAATGCCAAAATGTCACATTTGCCAGTGTATGCAAACTTTTGAGCACAATTTTATTTTAAGGCAATAATGGTAAACATTAAAGGGTCACCCCAATCATCATATCCAATACAGCTGGCTGTAGTGATTATGCTCCCAGGAGTACTTTGGGCTGGTCCCCTGGTTAGTAATGGTTTGCCCCCTTTACAATGGTCCCATGCGGACTACTGTTCTCATCTCTCTACTGGTGGCAAGCCGATGCAGTCACTATTCATTGGCTGAGAGTGTCTGCTGACAGTTCGCAGCCAATGAATGTCACATTGTGCAAAAAATGTTTGCGTGAAATTGATGTTAGCCTGCCGATGACACCCATGACTTTGCCAAAGAGAGGGACATCTTCAGCAGCGAGGCAAGACACTGCACATACAGACTCTATGTACCGTGACTTCCTTCAAATCACTGAAGCAGTGATTTTTTTTTTTAGAGTAACCCTTCAAAAATATAGTTTGATGTATAAGCTGTTGCTATATCATATCTATGGTGTATAAGGCAAAAAATATATAAATATAAAGCTTTAAAAGTAACAAATAATATTAGTCCCTCTCAGTGGGACTCCAAGTCCTCAAGATGAGTGCAAGATTATGTCTGTGAAAAAGAGAAAGAATATGTGTTCGACACACAAAAGGGAGTTTTAAATCAACTTAAATAAAAAAATTCAGAGAGAAAAATCAAACTAGTGCAAGCGTGTTGCATGTCAACTTGTGAATGCGTACTTAGTGTCTCCAATAGTGCGTGTGTATATATATTATATAGGCATACCATATCCACCTTGCTTTCTGGGACACATTATTTATACAAATTGATGGGCAACATACAGAAAGTGCTGGCCAGCAGTATGTAGAAGTCAAATGGTGCAGGTAATAAATCAGGGGATAAATCAATCATGAATCCTGCAGAATATATGGCAGAATTTTCATATGCTGCTAATCAACATGATAAAATTATGCGTGTCCAGGAAAACATGTTAGATATGGCAACCCTACCTATCTATAAATATTTGAATAGATAAACTGGTGAATTGGTGAGTAAATATTTTATTTTTTTACATAGGTAAACTTATTTTTTTTTATTTCTCCTTTTTCATTTTAATTCTATGTGTGGCAATTTTAACTACCGGCGTTTTTTCCAAATGTTGCTGCAATTTCATGTACAAATACCGTCCCCATTGTTTATATATGATAATATTTTTACTGTTTCGAACATATTGATTGTTTTTATTTCAATATTCATTCAGAGCTTGAGTGCCACCTAGAGGTACAGATTAGAAATGTTGTCAAGTCTGCAGCCATGGACATCAGACCACTCTTTAGATGTGTTTAAAGGAACACTCAATTGCTCAATTGCTCAAGGAACACTCAAAAACATGCATGTATTTTTTTTCTGCGTATTTTCCTTAGGGATATATTAAAAAATAGCTTGCAAAAGCTGCAGACCTTTGCAAGCCAAAAGCTTTCCTATGCTTCTCAGTGAGCTGTAGTTAAGCTCATTGAGAAGGGTTGAAGACAGGTGGATGTTAGCCCAGCACGCCTGCCACTTCCATTAGCTTTGTGGAGCAACGGAATTGGAAGAAAAACTTCCCTGGCTGTCTAATTAACAACTGGGGGGAGCGGTTTTAGAGTACTTCGATATAAATGCTGATTTCTATCACAAATACGACAGACTCCAGACACCAGTCCGAAGTGCTTTATGTATCTTTAATAGATTATCTCCAGGGCAAGAATTACATGTCAGGTGCCTACAGATACAATATTCTAAGGCATCCTCTGCTCCCCAACCCCAAAATAAAGCTGTTAAATTAAGTATATTTAACTTATTAATTGGACATTGCAGGCATCTAAAAAATATATACTCTTATTTGACAACTACATACACTATATGGACAATAGTGTTGCAAAACACCTCTTAAAGGACCACTATAGGCACCCAGACCACTTCAGCTCAATGAAGTGGTCTGGGTGCCAGGTCCCTCTAGTTTTGACCCTGCAGCTGAAAACATAGCAGTTTTAGAGGTTACAAGCCTTCTTTGCCATGATTCCTGGGTTAACATTTGTCTGCCTGGTCCTGCTTGGATTATCCTGCTAAGGACTTCATGTTTGCTGGTCCTACCTATACTATCCCAAAGGCTTTCCATTGCTTCCTGGCCCTGTGTTTCCTGGTCTTTCTGGCCTATTGTGACTTGTTTCCTCTATCTGACCACCAGCTACTGACCTTTGACATTGGCATACCCAAATTATGCCACCGTCAGTACATTAGTCTAGCAGAAAACCTCCACTGTTTTGACCTCCAAACTCTCCTTTTACCTATCTAGCTCTGTAACCTTCGTCTACAACTCCACCCTCTCCGCTCAACTAGATATCAAGGCACCTCCTATATTTAAACATAGCAAGTGCCCCCAATTACAACCTTAGTACATCAAGCTGACCCAATACCTCCAAAAATGCTCCACAACTGCTGAATGCTGCTGGGGAAAGTCTCATTCTGTGCCTTACTTCCTTCACTATAAAGTTATGCTATGTACATAAGGGATAAACTTAAAATTCTGGTTCTTGCATGCAAATCTCTACATAACTACTAGATGCCTATCCTCAATAGACAGTCTGGACATAAATAAAAACAAACACACACACACCAACAACAAAAAACAGACAGGCAATCTGACTAACTTACTGACATAGATAAACAGACACAGAGACAGGCAGACGGACAGTCAGACAGAGAAAGAGAGAATTCTAAAGCAGAATGATATATCTAGATTAATAGAGTATACCTGAATTAATGTTGTTCACTAGCATTTTTTCTTAATTCCCCAATTCCTCATTTGCAATTCTTCCATCGCACGCAGCACACGCAAAGCATAAAATGAAGTTCATCCCCATTGAAGAAGCACCAATCTTTGAGAAAGGTATATGAATATGCTGCGCAAACTATAACGCCACTTGCTAGAAAGTCCATAGCTACGATTAGATTGAAGATAGTCAAGATCCAAGTCTTCAGACACATCCAAGTGAGGCATCGGTCTTTACGCCATTGAGATGGTAAGAGAACCATGAGTATAGGTGAAGCTCTGTCAGAGCCTCAGTTACAACTGGGAGGAAATAAAATGTTCAAACAGTTACAGCAGCAGTTACATCTATGACATCACAGCATGACATCACCTGATTACACTGTTAGAGATCTCTCTTCCTGAGGTCAAGTAGAGACAATGATCCTTATAAATGGAAAACGACTATGATAAACATATAAAAGAAATGTTCGAAACAATAAATATTTTATATCAATCTTAACCTCTTAATGCCGTTATTAAATGAGCTTAAAAGCTGTTGCGGGGGCATAGAATACCATAATGGTTTGAAGTCCCCCGGGCGCTATATACTTACTGTGATAAGATGCATGGTGTTGTCTGGGATGGAGTCTATATTTCCTCTCGATTTTTTAGAAAGGCATATAATATTTAACCCCAGGGGAAGTGTTTGTCAGGGTGGTGGTACAGAAACCGGGACCCCTGAGTGTCTGATGAGAAGTGGGAGTCTTCAGCGTGGAAGTGGATTATCAGGGCCTGGTGCGGGGCAACCGCACGCCCCCTGGTGCTGAGCACCAGCGTTTGTGCAGCCACATACCAGAACCCTGATTCAGCTTATGCGGATCTCATGTATGTACGTAGTGGGGAATCGCGATGCAGCCTAGCACAAATCTAAACCCATTTACCCCCCCAATAACGACAGACCACTTAGTATGGATGAACAGGCCACAGCATTTATTATCACAAACTAAATTACTGCATAACACATCCATAACTTTATTTATTAAATCTCTTCTTTCTGTAACCAAAACGTTAGACATAAATAATCATAAATTAACATATATACATATATAACTCCACCCATAGTGTTATACAGTGACCCAACCGTCCTTGCCAATAAACATACAGTGGTTCCTAATCACCACTTCGTCTCACCTCCCCCCTCGTCATAAAAATCATATATTTCCAATGCCCGCCATCAGCCGACCTTATCCACGCTCGATGGGCACAACACCTCAGGCAACCTAATGTTTAACCTTTTGAAGCAGGGGAGGTTGAGACCTAAAAAAACTTGTTCATCTCATTCCATATACTTAAACGTAACCACTCAAACTCAATTGGCAAGGACATACCCCCGCCACAACCCCGCTGTTTTACACCTAAAATCAGCAGGGGACCCCACCATGACCAGCCACGGCCTGTTCCACCACTTCGTGCAGCGCTAGATTAACATAGGCCTATTCCGACCTCCAGCAAGCGCACCCATCCTCTTGAGATAACTAGGCCGCATCCGGCCAAACCCTAAGGCGAACTGGAATTCCCCAAGACAAACCCAGAAACCCATCTCGTCAGAATATTTATGGCATCGCACCAGGGCAGTCACATTGCTGAGCGCACTGCCAACAGGAACAGAGATAGCCTCAGCCTAGCCCCTGAGAACCTCAGGGAAGAAACAGAATGCGCAACATGTCCAGATTGAAGAGCAACCAATACCCAAAACCTCTTCGAACTCATGTCGTTCCACCCAGAGATGACAAAAAAACCCTGGTACCTCCATGAGGCGGGACAGCCGACCCCGTACGAGGAGGACCGCACCCCCTCCATGTAACTGGTGCCAGACCAGTGAACCTCCGCTCCCGAAGGCGTAAGATCCAACCACTCGCCCCCGCCTCCTGGCCCAAATTACATACGAGCATCCCACCATCCCCTTTTCCGGGAGGGCCGTAACCGCAGTGAGAAATCCATTCTGAGACCAGCAGGGTGAACCCACCACCCTGACTCCTACCATTCGAGCCCCTGAACCATTGGCGCAGGCACGCCAAGCCTGGCGGCACCATAGCCGTCCCAAACCAGCATAAATGCCCCTTGAACTCCCTACCATCCTTCAGGCAAATGACGGAAACCTGCACCGCCCCCGATCGGAACGGAATTTGTCCGACTATCCTGGGAACCCCTTACATCGTGTTAGGAGCCAACCATTACCCTGTGCATTCCATCTACCTTAGTCGAATGCGGAAAAGCCAGGGCATGTCAACCCCGCAACATCTAAGAATTGCACAGATTCCATCGACGAATCAGCCACACCGCAACTGACTTACCCGACCCAACGACAACAGCCGTCGAGCGGCGAAACCTGAAGTAAGTCCGTCCACCAAAACACCCCACCACTTGCCGATGACCGTAACATGAACAGGAAGCCGAGCCCTGCCAATCGCAGAAATCACCCCCAGCGCCCTTTACAGACGGGACCAAACATGTAGATGAGCAGTCCACTCCCGGAACCCCCCAAGGAGACGTTCCCATCTGTCCTGATCACTCCCACCATACCGGAGCGGGCCTCATGCCGCCTCATAGGTCGACCCACAGACCAGCTTCATCGGACCGTTGGACCAAGCGACCACCTCCACTGCCCTAACATCGACCCCGCGACACCTCTGCCCGAAGTACGCCCTATAATGACCAAGACAGAGCATCGGCCACCACATCGGGAATACCCGGACACAAAACCCCTGACCAGCCGTCCCCAGACTCAAACAGCGCCAAGCAAGGCGCCGCCACCAGAGTAACACCGGGGTAAAGGGTACTGCCACATGACAAGACAGCCCGCACCGCCCCACGATGGACCCAAAGGAAAACCCACCCACCTGTTCAATAGCTGGACACCCCATGCCCACCATAAAGGGGAAGCTCCAAGAACACCAGAGTCCGCCAGAACCCCGATGCTTGCCAGTGTAATGGGCAAGAGTCAGCATACCATTGAGAGCCCAAAATGGCCCAAAAGCCCCCAAAACCTGCTGCCGCAAACAGCTGGAAGTCAGCGGAAAAGACTTAGGGGACAGATTGCACAAGCCACCGTGAAGGGAGGCCCAGAAGGAACCCCATACAGTCCCAAGGGCAACCCCAACAAGCAAAGCCCAGCATACCCAGGAGAGTCCAAAGGTAGTGCAGCCTAAACCCACAACGCCCCTCCAAAACACCGACTCCTCCTGCCCGATGTCCCAAACCGCAGTCAGGGGCAACCGACGTCCCATTGCAGGAACCGATCCCACTATCCAGGAGACTACAGCCCGTATCCCGACCTACGGATATGGCCTAGGCCACGGAACTCCAAAACTCATAAGACTACCCCAGGAAAAACACTGCAGCAGCAGAGTGCAGACATGCGGCACCGAAGGCCCCCACACATAAACGACATCGGGAGCAACCCACGTGGAGGCACATAGCCACCCAATCCTGACCGTCGGAAACACAACCTGGAAACAATCAACCCGACGGGCGTACCGGCAGAATGTGGGGGTGGACCTATTGTCTCCCCTCCTGGCCCCCACCCCTGAGCGATGGGTGGGGACCATAAATAAGAATAAGGGGGGGGAAGTACTGTCCTCCCCCCCCAGCCCCCACCCCTGTGTGGTGGGGGGGGCCCTAAATTATAATCGGGGGGGAGACCTATTGTCCTCACCCCCGGCCCCCACCCCTGCGCGGCCAGTGGGGGCCCTAAATGAAAATGTGGGAAGGGACCTATTGTCCTCCCCCCCCGGACGCCACCCCTGAGTGATGGGTGGGAGCCCTAAACAAGAATGTGGGGGGGCACTAAATGACCATATGGGAGGGGGACCTATTGTCCTCCCCCCGGCCCCCACCACTGCGCAGCGGTTAGTGTCCCTAAATGAGACTGTGGGGGAGACTCATTGTCCTCCCCCTGACCCCCACCCCTGAGCGGTGGGTGAGGGCCCTAAATAAGAATGTGTGGGGGGGACCTATTGTCCTCCCCCCAGCCCCCACCCCTGAATGGTGGATGGAGGCCCTAAACAAGAATGTGGGGGGCACCTATTGTTCTCCCCACCCGGCCCCCACCCCTGAGCGATGGGTGGGGACCATAAATAAGAATAAGGGGGGGGAGAACTGTCCTCCCCCCCCAACCCCCACCCCTGTGTGGTGGGTGGGGGCCCTAAATTATAATCAGGGGGGAGTCCTATTGTCCTCACCCCCGGCCCCCACCCCTGCACGGTGGGTGGCAGCCCTAAACAAGAATGTGGGGGGTCACTAAATTACAATATGGGAGGAGGACCTAAACAAGAATGTGGGGGGGGAACCTACTGTCCTCCCGTGCCCTCGCCCACTGAAGATGGATTCATTTCTTTCGCCCTCTTCCTATCGGGGTGGCCACCACAGCAAGCAAGTTTTTCAGCGTTTTGAGCTTCAGTTATTCTATAACTAGCCTTCACTCCCACGTGCATGAATGAGCCTTGGGCTCCCATGGCGCTAGTTCATTGATTGTCCTTCCTTGCAATATGTTTGGTAGGTACTAACTGTGGCGGAACCGCTGCCTGCCTATGAATTGCTCCTTCTGTATTTGTGGATTTCCCATTATCAAATGTGTGTTTCCCCATGTATTTATACTTTAACTGTGTTTTATGCCTTTCGATCGCACAGGGCATTTAAAAGAGGGGAGTGGGGATAGTGGAGATGGCACTTGTACTTCTATTCTTTTTTTAATTCACTTTCACCAGATGAGTTAGCTGATGCCCAGGTACCCCATGATTGTGCAGCACTAATGGCACAAGAAACAGCAGGTTTTTCACATGTATTTGATTCTCCATTATCTAATGCAGATTTTGAGTTTTTTGTAGATGGTTCCAGATATGCTGATGAGAAGGGTAATTTCCACACTGGATATGCTGTAGTCTCTGCACATGAGGTAATAAAAGCTGAACCACTCACTACTCACTGCTCTGCACAGGAGGCTGAGCTGAAGGCACTCTCTGAAGTGTGCAAACTGGCCTCTGGTAAGACAGCTAATATTTACACAGACTCTCGCTATGTCTTCGGTATAGCCCATGCTTTTGGCCCTATATGGCGGGCTCGTGATTTTCTCAATTCAGCAGGAACTCCAATCAAGAACTCTGAAGCTGTGAGTGCACTTATGGACGCTATCCTGCTACCCACTCAAGTAGGCATCATCAAGGTGGCAGCTCACGTGACGATCACAGATGAAATCTCAAGAGGAAACCACAAAGCAGACGAAGCTGCCAAGCAAGTAGCAATCCAAGTACATCCTTCTACAGGTAATACCTGTAATAAGTTGTTCTAACAGATGACGCCGTTGACTACAATATACTGTTGAGCTTACGAAGACTGGCAAGCAAGGAAGGACGTGACCTCTGGAGGAAACAGGATGCAGAACCTGATGATGACAGAACGTGGAGGAAAGGTAAAAGACTGTGTTTGCCACGAGTATTATACCCCATGATGATCCAGATTGCCCATGGACCTACACATCTATCCAAGATGCACATGAACAGCATAGTAAACACCCATTGGGTAGCACCTGGATTTACTATTGTAGCAGCTAAACACACCCAAGCTTGCATGATTTGTGCTAGAAACAATCCAGGATAGGCTGTCAAAACACACCAAGGCCACTTTACCCGTTTCAAAGACTGCAGATAGACTATATTCAACTGCCTAAGTGAGGAGTGTCTGGATATGTGTTGGTGTGCATTGATCTCTTTTCAGGTTGGCCTTAAGGCCTACCCAGTGTCGAAAGCCACAATGACTGTCACAGGAAGTAAGGTTCTGAAGGAACTGGTATGTAGATATTGTGACGAGACCAATCTCGCCACATTGCATTGGAGAAGCCTGGTTGCTCGCCTGCTGCCTCTGGACTATGGCCCCCCTGTTAAAAGACATCAAAAGCTTAATTCGGGCTTTTCTGCCTGGGGTTCGGTAGATTTGTTTGAATGTGTTATACCCCGGATAGGAATCCCATGGAGCCCATTCGTATGAAACTGACTGTAAAGACTTTGGCTCCATGGCGATTAAACTGTATTTGTGTGGTCTGAGCGCCATTCACTTAATAATGTGCGCTCAGACCTGAGCTATCTGGGGATATGTTAAATGTATAGTATTAATGTAATGTGTTATAACGGCTACCCTGGTGTAGAGAGGGTACCAGCCGTTAGGGACGTCCTTTTCTTCCTGGCAGTCGCTGTGTAGTGATGGAGTCGCCTATTCCCTTCTCCTGGATCAGGAGTGGAAACCAGGTGCAGCTCTGAAAAGAGCTAAGTGATTAAGCTGCAGAGATTCCCCTTTCAAGAACGAGACAAGGCTACGTTTTGAAGGGTCAAGAAGAACTATCAAAACCTTTATTTCCCTTGGGACCAGCCAATACAGTCACCACAATAACATTGTTGTGAAACCTCAATAAAATCACAAACAGTCAAACCATATCAAGAAACACACAGTGACTTATCACAACACAATGGCACATTTTTAAAGGGGTGGGGAGAGACAATATTTAACAGTAAATATCTCACCTGCCTGCAGAATTAGCAATATGCAAATCTACCCGAATATGCAAATGAACCAGTCTTGCAATTCAGGTAGTGCATATTGCTGTTGCTACCAACAGAGGGCACTAGACAAGCTCCATAGCCAAACCTACCTAGTTGGTAGCAAACCTCAGCAGTACAGGAGAGAAGGCAATACATTTCACAGTACACACACACACTATAAACAATTACATTACACACACCCTGCACCTATAATGGGTACAGGGTGACTAAAACATAGGATAAATAAAGCAGCCCACATAAATAGTCTGTCTGAAGGTAGACTAGGGGCTTTAAAGCCAAATACATGAAAGAGTCATAGTCACAGGGGAGGAGACTGGCAAGAAGGCCTCTCCAGGACCAAGTGGCGAAGGACACTTCGTCACAGGCTGTATAATCCATTTGTCCTTTTGTAGGCATACTGGGCTTGTTGTTACATGTGTCTTACCTGGTGTATTTTAACAGTAATGCTTGTTTTGTGTCCCCATGTGCATAATGGAGTCTTGTCTCTGACATGTCTGTGTTTTATGTATAAAATGGGACTTTGTGTATTGTACAGTATTTTAATGCTTTGTGCAAACCATGTGCATAATGGAGTCTTGTCTCCGTCCTGGGAGATAATTTAATTACTTCTCAATTATCTCCTGGGCAGAGGAGAGGAAGCCAGGATGCATTGTGGTAAAAAGGAAGAGGTAATTGGGTTACCTCTCAGGATAAGGGGGAGGGAATCTGTGGGTTGTAACTAATATGTTACTGGATATTTTATACCTCCCTGTGGGCGGTCCTGTATTTGCAAGACTGTAATAAAAACCAGGCTGGGTGTGCCAACACCACAGACCACTGCTTGACCCTCAACACAGAGCCTTGTCTCGTTCTTGGGGGGATTCACTGTATGCTGTTAGAGACTGATTGCCAGGAGTGTAAGCTGATTGTCTGCTTTTCCTGTTCGTCTGCTAGCAGCTACTTGGGAGGTTCCAGTTCGGGAGTTGGAGTGCTATTTTGTATCCAGTTCGGGAGTTTGGTGTTCTGCAGTAGCTGTGCCTGTATCTCTGGAAAGGGGGCCGATCGCCTAAACGTTTTTTACCCCTTGTGTGCAAAACGGTCCGTTACAGATATGGAGTACCTGAAGTTACTGAACGTGACAGAGGTAGACATTTCACTGGGGAAATAATGCAATAAATTCTGAAAGCCTTAGGGATCAGTCAGGCCTTCCACATCCGCTAACACCCCCAGAGTAGGGGGAAAGTAGAAAGGGCAAATGGCACCTTAAAGAACAAGATTGCAAAAGCCATGCAAGACACAGGGAAGCCCTGGACTGAATGCCTTCCCCTAGCACTCTTTTCTATGAGACTCACACCCAGTTCCAGACATGGCCCTTTGGAGATCCTGTTTGGATGTGCCCCAAAGACAGGCCTCTATTTTCCCTAGACCCTTCAGATGCAGCATGGTGTACAGGCCCTACACCAAAAATTAGGCAGGGTGCATAAACAAGTCTTTGATTCTGTTCCAGATCCAGACTCTGATTCTGCAACTCACAAACTGCAGCCTGAGGATTGGGTGGTGATAAAGGCATGTGAGGAAAGGTCTTGAAGCACGCTTTGACTGTGCATTCCAAGTGCTCCTGACTACGGCTACTTCAGTGAAACTAGAAGGAAAAGCCACGTTGATACACGCCAGTCACTGTAAACAAGTCACTCCGACTGATCCACCAACATGAAGCTGTTCTTATCCTTTACCATTGTATGCTCTGTTCAGATATGCAACTCTGACTTGAGACGAGAAGATAATAATGCATGACAGGGAAATATATGGTTGCACATAGCAAAGGTTTTTAATTTAACCTCCTTTTGCCCTCAACCCTCTCCTCAGTACTGAAAATGCCATACAATCTTGTCTTATAGCTGTCCCTACCCTCATCTCACTGTTGAGGAAGTACCTACATAGCTATAGACCCCATAAATAATACCAGAGTAATTAATGCTGTAGCCTGTCCCCTTGCAAAGAGTTTAAATGCCACTTCCCAGGTCCTAGAAGAGCTACTTATGGACACTGTTACGGTTGCCTCCGGGCTAGCTGGAGGTTGGACCACTTGGATATCCTGGTTCCCGAACTTGGAGAGTGAGAGCACCGCTCCGGTCAGCATACAGTAAGATTCCTGTAAATGTAGAACGCACATGTAGCGGAGATGCAATAGTACCCAGGTTATCTCCGCTTATAATCCAAGTGAGACTCAGGAACAAGTAAATAGTAAATCCAAAGGCAGGGTTTCCAGCAGGTAAAATACAGCAATATCCCAACAGCAATCCCAATAACTGGACGACACACAGTTTCAGGAGCATAACTGGCAAGCCTTTAATCACAGTCTCCTTATAAAGCATGCTCCCATGCAAGGGAGGGATTTACAGTAATTATTACAGTAGCCAATCCTGTCCTGGTAACCTCCCACACCTCC